GTGCTCCCAGTGCAATAGTATTGCACCAAATGACCAAGACTTTTTGCATTTCCCTTGCTTATTCATAATGCACCTTCTTCCATGGTGGTATGGCTTGTCACGAGTAGAAATAAACCTGCACGCCCCTTCTTACATAGTAGGTGATAAGGTAATGCAAAGTGGACGAGATGTCTCACAGGCTAGGATCGGCAAGCTAGAGGGACTAGTCCAGGTAGAAGAAATGCGCGGCAAATTAGGTAGAAAATATATATTCTTTTTTTTACTAATGGTGAAGGGCAGGCAATCAGGCGTCATGAACAAGTGGAAGCCCTATTTACAGTCGCACACTTGAAAGGAGGAAATAATTATGTGCTAAGTTCAATGACAAACTCACAGAGCAAGACAAAAGCGGTAGTCAGATCTGAGTCCTTAACTCATGAAAAGAATTTATTGCGTTTAACTGGTAAATATTGCGCTGCTGCGGCTGGCTCTTTGACACGTAGGTTTCGCTGAAGTCTGTGTCGAATGCCAGCCTGAGCTGACATGCTGGCACAATTTCGTCCGCTCCATAAATTTAAGGGTGTTGCGTTAGCGGATACAGTCTGCTTTTGCTTAAGGAACAAACGAGCTACAAAAGCTTGGCGAGGTAGAATTAGTTGAAGCAAGTAATATAACGCGAACTAAGATATGAAGGCAGAAAGAGTCGAGTCGGTAGTGGCTGGTTACTGCAATGATGGAGGTGTAGCCTTGCTCACCTTTTGTAGCATCGACTGTAGATTTTGGCAGTTGGCGAGGATTTCTTCAAGCTGGTTTCTATTGCAATTTGACACTTTAGTGTTGCGAAATAGCCTCGTGTCCTGTTGATTATTCAGATGCAAATGCATTGCCAATGAATGCAAGTGGGTTTAGTTTTAGCGAGATTTGGCACAACAAAACCGTCGATCTAGGTATTCCAACAGATCCATTCTGCCATGCAGCTTGCTCCCAGTAGCGTCCCTTGGTTCTGCGACAATTTAGGGTTAGGGGAAATGGCGCCGAA